ATAAAATGTAATGAAAGGTCCAGTAGATGCTGCTGATTCACAGGCTGAGGCCCCATCAGAGGCTTGGATACCTGGCCTACCCTAATACTGGGTGTGGTGACTCATACCTGTAGACCCTCCCAGCTCCTCAGGAGGCCAAGATAAGATCAGGACAGGGCAAGACTCAGTTTTTAAAAACAAAACAAACAAACAAAACAATCAGGAAGAAAGATTATAAAGTAGACATTAATGAAATAAAAAAACAAACTTATACTAAATGAACGAAGTTCACTCATTGTAAAGAACAGTTACATAGATCAGTAAAATAAAGATGAGTCCTGGCAAGATTGACTACAACAAAAAAGAGCAGAGACAAATAACTTATATTTGGAATGAAAAAAGGGACATTTGTAGAAGTGCTTAAAAACTATTTAACATTGTTTTGGATAGCTTTATATAATAATTTGAAACTTTAGATGAAATGGAAAATTTCTGGAAAAATGCAAATATAAATAGTTGCCACACTGAGAAGTAGGAAACCTTAATTGATCTGTATTTTGGGGGAGGAGGAGGTTTTTGCTATAAGGTGCATGCACTCGCAAGAAAGACAGAGGGAGAAAGAAAGAGAGAGAGATAGAAAATGAGAAATCACCTCCCCAGGGGGATGGCCATGCTGCAATGCCTTCTCCTCCATTCTCCTCTCACGATCTTGGGCACACACACACACGCGCACCTGGCATCAGTTTAAGCCACCAGGTCCGGGGACTTGAACTGGGATTGACTACATGGGAGTTCAGCGACATAGCCATTACGCTAACTGCTGGTCCCAATTGATCTGTATTAAGTTGAATCATTGATTAAAAAATCTTACCACAAAGAAAGCTCCAGACCTAGAAAGTTTCACCAGTATAGTCTACAAAATATTTGAGGAAGAAATTTACCAATCCTATGTAATATCATCTAGAGAATAGAAGATGAAGTATTTCTCAACCGACTTTATAGGCTAGCATAAACATAAGATAAAACCTAAAGGACACTATGAGAAAGAAAATTTATAAGCAATACTCAGTCATCAACTTAAATGCTTCATTCCTTAAGGTACCATTAGCAAAACAAAATCTAGCCATATGTAATAAGGACAAAAATTACCAACTTGAATATTTTTTAAATGCAATTTTAATTTAACTTTGAAAATCACTTGTTATAATTTTAGTATTAGAATAATCAAGAAAATTTATCTCAATACACACAGAAAGAACATTTGATAAATTCATCATTTATATATGATCTTAGTAAAGATCTTAGAAAGAAAAGCCCTTAGAAATAGAAAACTACAAATAGAAACCTATTGCATACCTACTTATTGGTAAAATATTAAAAATTTTTCTTTTTAAATCAGGAACAAGACAAGGATAATTTTATTAAAGATCTTAGCTTAACGATAATGCAAGGAAAATTACTGAAAGAATAAGAGTTGAAAAAGGACAAATAAAACCTTTAGAACTGTGTTCTTAGAAGACATGATTCTAAACATTTAAAATACCAAAAAAAATATTAATAAACAGTTCCAATTAATAAGGTTAGGGGTTATCTCCATGGTACAGTGATTAAGCTCTGTGCTTTGGGATCCAGATCCCACTTGCCAACCACAGTTGGAGTCCTAATCCTTGAAAAACATGCCAGGTACATGGGCTGGCATGCCCCAGATCTTGAAGGAATGAAAAAATGGAGGAAAGAGGATTGTGATATGATGATGCTCCATTGAAGGGCACTCTCTCCCCCTCCTCCTTCTCTCTCTCTTTCTCTCTCTCTCACTTACACATGCCTTCAAGCAATATTGAATTAATGAATGAATAAGTTGATCGAGGTAGACTAATGATAATTAGGTGAATATGGAGAGACCAGTTATTATCAACAACAAAGTTGAATTTTAAAATTATGTTTACAGATCAGAATACTTAAAAATAAACCTAACAAAAGCTATGCTTTTTAGCATTGAAAATTATATAATGTACTGAATGAAATTAAAGGTGACCTAATGAATTATATAATAGATCCAAGCTGGGAGTGGGGGAATATGTCACCAGACTGGTTCTATGAAGGTCCATATAGTATATATTTTCAGCTTTATAAGCCATCAATCTCTTTGGAAAGTTCTCAGCTCTTCAGTTTGGGACATGAAGGCAGCCATAGACAATGAATGGGCATGAAAGCAGTCACAGAAATAAATAAATGGGTGTGGCTATGTTCCAATAAAATATTATTTATAAAAATAGATGGTTTGGATTTAGTCTGTTGGTTGTAGTTTGATCATTAATGATCTAGGCACTGGTTATTAATGCCTACCAACATCACAGAAAGAGGAGCAACGAGATATTACTTGCATCCTGTTTTACCACCTGTGAAATAGCCTTACTGAAAACTGTGAGAATAAAGAAAGTAGATAGGAAACTTTTAGGTTAAAAGACATTTAAGAGGATATATCAGTCATTAATAATATATGGGCTTTATTTGGATCACTGTTCAAACAATAAATAGCCAAGAGATTTTGTCTTTATTTTGGCCATGATTTACTAAAAATGTCTTTTATCAGGACCAGCAGTTAGTGTAATGGCCATGTCGCTGAACTCCCATGTAGTCGACTGTGGTTCAAGTCCTGGACCCCATGGCTTAAACTCACGCATGTGTGCATGCGTGCCCAAGATGGCAAGAGGAGAATGGAGGAGAAGGGATTGCAGTGTGGCCATCTCCCTTGGGGAGTGATTTCTCACTTTCTGTCTGTCTGTCTCTCTGGTGAGCACATGCACCCTGTAGCAAAAACCTCTCCCAAAAAAAAAAAAAAAAAAGTCTTTTATCTCCATACGTCTTACATTTTGGACAAGGAGACTGATTCATCTTGTGCATGCTCCTTATCCATGGTAATATATCAGCGTTATAATTCACTTTTAAAAAAATAATAATATTATCATCTGTAATTCTGAAATACAGCTACCATTTCTAAATATTCTCCTTCCAGTCTTATTTCAAATGTATATTTTAATGATAATAATAATTAGATAATTATATCTTTGTATTATGTTTTTATAAGCTAATTTCTGTTTCATAGTCATTACCATCTTTTTCAGTGGTTATTTTTAATGCAGACATATTTCATGAAGATAGGAGAGTTTATATAAAAAAATCTACATATGGCCATACACTGATTAATGAAGATGCTAATTAGTTTTCTGTGCTATGGTACCACTATTTTTCAAACTTTAATAATGTATATAGTATGATTCTTATAAATAAAAATAGTTTGAGAACCAGCTCATGTTTGGAAAAAGAACAGCTTATTAATTCACTATTTTTGAAAGTAGTTAAATAAATGTAAATATGGTAGCAGTATTCCAAGTAGTAACAATAAGTGTTTTAGCATTGTAAAATGTTGTTGGAGAGAAGGAAAAAATAGTCCTGGTATAGTGTTTTCACAGATCTTACGATGACTTTCTGACAATTAAATCTTCAGGTTCTTTTTGGAAAAATATCTATGAGTATTTTGAAATTTATTTATATTTTTAAAAACCAGTGCCTATTTTGAAAATATATACCTCAATATTAATCATACTGAGGTATTTTCTTAATTTTTTTGGTTATTTTATCCTGTTTATCATTTTTTTCTACTCTATTCATTCCATTTGCTTTTTTTTTTTTTTTTAAGTAAAAGTGAGGCCTGTGGGTTACCTCATGTTTTAGCAACCTACCAATGATTAGTAGCTACCATAATGTAATTCTGTTTACCTCACATATTGAATCCCAGCAGAAGTTTCTGATTGATAAGAATATCTGACTCTGGTTTTTATGATTAAATATAGTTACTATTAATATTATAGCATTAAAAATGTTTCTGTATTCTTAACTTCAAAGTAAATCAATATAAGAGATTTAAAGTAAATCTCAGTAAGAGTTAAAATGTATGTATTTGTTTTATAAAGTGAATTAAGTTCACTCACAGTAGGAGGGGTACAAGTTACTACCTCTTTTAGGTGACAGACATGACAATAAAAATTTATATGGGATTAAACAATAAATACTAGGTAAATTACATTTGCATTTTTGAACTGAAACAGTTTTTTCTGAAAGACAAGTTTATAACTCCCTTACTGAATTGATGTAAGCTTGTGAGTACATCTAACAGTCATTCGGAACCTCCCTTTTTGCCATATTTGTCTACTGTATCACATATCAAGCTGATTACTATTTTCAGAAACAGTATTCATGACTGAAATCCTACAGTTAACCTTTAGAAGATCAAAAGGAAATATACTTACTTAAAGGTGACCCTAATAAAAAGCTATTTCCTCTTTTTATGCTTTATTGCTTGCATGTTTAACAGCCTTTTTTTTCTTTTGTTTGCATAAAATTACTGAGTGTACATGTAACGATCAAAAAAGTCATTTTAGGATGAAACTAACGTATCAGCTGCAGAGCCATAGTTGAATATGGCAGCAGTAATTTGTAATTATCATTTTAAAAGATTTATTTTAATATACAGAGTGACAATATAACTTGTTAGACAAAATTGTATAAAATTAAATATTCTAAAAGCTTTTTACTTGGGATTACTACTAAAAGCTAGAAGTATATCTGTATCTTTAGTCTAAGCTGTATATATATATATGCATATATATAATTTACATGGAGAGAGAGAAAAGTAAATATACACAGTCATTTGGGATAAGCTTTCTTGTAAATACTGAGTGTAATTATTTGATATGTATCACAATATTTTCATAGACCAGTAGAACATTTTTCCAAACTGTCATTTAGTGTTTTAAATTATGATTATTTGTATTCTGTTAAAAAATAAAATTTCTAAAAACGGTTTCTTGCTTTTTCATTTTCAGTTATTCATTATCTCTTATATCAACAGGTTGTAAAAATTACTGTTTTTTTATTGGAGATTTGCATTTTTTTCCTAAACAGTAAAATATATTGATAAGCTGATATTTTATTTTTTCTTTTTTTCTAATTTTTTTTAGGTGGTTGAACAGGGTATGTTTGTAAAGCACTGCAAAGTAGAAGTTTATCTCACAGAATTGAAGCTCTGTGAAAATGGAAACATGAACAATGTTGTAACTCGAAGATTTAGCAAAGCTGACACAATAGGTAATGAAAGATCCTGTCTCCTTTTTGAAATCATTGCTATTAGATATAGTTATAATTTTTATTTTATATGCTATGTTATATACTAGGGTGATAATCATTTTAAGGATTTATATGTAAACATTACAGGTTCCCAACCTCCATTATTTTATTTTGCATTTATGAATGAGTTTAATGTTTATTCCATTTCACTGTTTTCCAAAAAATCCAACAACATTTATAAGTTTGAGATTTAATTTCAATAAACCCATGCAATCCTAAAAGGAATGCTTAAAATGTTAGGATTTCTATATATGTCATTTTATTATAATTAACTATTATGGACAGAGATAAGACAGAGAGAGAGAGGGAAAATGAGAAAGCACTCCTGGAGAGATGGCCCCTCCACAATCCTTTCTTGGAATTTAGGGCACATACAAACACATACCTAGTGTGATTTTGAAGCCACTGGGTTCAAGACTCAAATTGTGCAGTTGGTTATGTGAGATACAGCTGCTTTAACCTCCATGCTATCTGCTAGCCCTGTTATGAACTCTTTACTGCCTCACACTCCTGAGCCTTTGGGATTGCAGGCAGAAGCCACCATGACCATCCCTAGGTTGGACCTTGACTCAAACCCAGGCCTCCCCCATGTCCCAGCCTACAGAGCACAGTATTTTCATGCACACCAATGCAATAGGCCTGAAAGTGAGTTTTGTTTTGTTTTGTTTTGTTTTGTTTTGTTTTGTTTTGATTTGATTTGATTTTGGAGAGGTTTTAGCTGTAGGGTGTGTGCGCTCTCCAGAAAGACAGAGAGAAACAAAGCGAGAAATCACCCCCAGGGGGGATGACCATTCCACAATTCCTTCTCCTCCATTCTCCTCTCAGGATCTTGGGTACACACACACCCAACATGAGTTTAAGCCACCAGGTCCAGGACTTGAACTGCAGTCAACAATGTGGGAGTCCAGCAACCTAGCCATTACGCTAACTGCTTGTCCCCTGAAAGTGAGTTCTGAAATAAAGAATGTTAGTGATATGAAAACAGAAATAGGTTGTATATTCTTCTCTTGTGATTTGTTTAAAAGTTATCATTGAGCCAAGCATGGTGGTGCACGCCTGTAATCCCAAGTACTTGGGAGACTGAGGCAAGACATGCCTAGGTTGAGTCCAGTCTAGGCAACATAGTCAGATCCTGTCTCTCAGACGGGAGAAGAAAATTTTGTCAAAATAGCTATGTACATAAAAGATAGCTATAAATTATATATAAACAGAATTAGGAAATGTAAGTGCCTGTTTTTGTGTTGTTAACAAATTAATAAAAATGATCTTTTTTAACTAGTACTCTGTATGTTGATTTATAGTAAAAATGATAACTATAGGCATGAGCTAAATAATTTAACATTTCAGGACCAAAATACTTTGCCTTTGAATATTTTTCTCCCTAGGTTGATATACTTGGGCTATGAGCATGTTCCCAGTGAAAGAGAAAATGTGGTTTCATTTCTTTTAAAGATAACCACTAAAAACACAATTTTTAAAATAAAACTTATTTTAAAATGACTTATGTTTATAAAATTTATTAATAGAATTAGTTCACATTCTTATTAAACATTTCTGCTGGAAGTGTTTGTTAGAACAGTTTTCTTTACAGTACCTATGTTAGTATTTTTCTTCCTCTGTGTACTTTTCATTAATGTGCTAATAGGGTCCCATTAATATGTGGAAAATAAAATGCCTGCTCTCAGTCCCTTGGCACTCTCTGTTCCAGTGATCTTGACCTACATCAGCCTCCGCCACTAGTTCCCATAATTATACCCTTGACTGTCATTATCTGTAACTGCACTTGCCAAATTACAATTTCAGCATCCTGCTTTCTCGCTACTGCTGCTTCTGTTCCCATTCTCTTTTGAGCCCACTTCATTAGACTTTCAAACCTACCACTCTCTTCGTACTCACTTCTGTCTTGGTCTCTCATGACCTTCCTGTTGCCAAAATCAGGGATAATTTACTATAGAAGTCTTTCATATTCTTAACCTGCCAACAGAATATAGTACAATAAACTGCTTTTCCACTTAGAAATACTACTTGGGGCCAACAGGTAGCATGGTGGTTAAGGTGTGGTTAACCCCACATGGCCAACTGGGATTCGAGTCCCAGAGCTAGCAGTTTAAAAATCATGCTGGAGACATGTATGTGTGTGCCTAGAATTCCAGCAAGAGAATGGAGGAGAAGGGATTGCAGTGTGACTTTCTTCTCTAGGAGAGTGGTTTCTCCCTCTCCCTCTCACTGTCGGTTTCTCTTTCTCTCTGGTGAGCACACACATCCTATGCCAAAAACCTTAAAAAAAGAAGAAGAAACACTATTCACATGGCCTCCAGAACAGTTTGTCACAGGCTATGCCTTATCCAATACTTTTGTAAGATCCTCTTCATATTCCTGCCCTTAAAACATCAGAATATTTTCTCACTTAGCCCTTGAATCTCTTTGCTTTCCCTTAATGATTCCATCTGGTCTCCTGGCTTTAAAATATAATCTCTATGTTGATGTCTTAAATTATATGTCCTGCCTGAAACTCCCCCAATTTCAGTTTTAATCAGCCTTTTGTATATTTGATACAGCTCTCAAGATGATTATCATGTATAAAACTAAACTCTCTCTGCCCCACCCCCAAAACCAGCTACCCTGTGATTTAGCTCTCTTTGATTGTCAGTGGTATTGCTCCAGTTAGTCAGGACAAAAATCTTGAAAAAAATCTGATGCCATTGTTTCTCACCCTTCATGTGATCTATCAGCATCTTTTTTAGCAGTTCTTTCAGAACCCGTTCTCAGTCTGACTCCTCACCCTGCTTCCATTGCTACCACCTTGGTTTGAATTTCTGCAGTAGCTTAGTCTTTCACTATTAATTGCCAGTAGTCTTCACTAGCTTCACTAGCTACAAATGCAAACATTTTAAACATTTTAAATGTTTCTTCTCTTCTTCAAACTCCTCAATGACTTCCCATGTTTCTTTCATATGTCACAAAATTCTGTGCAGCCCTACAGAAATACTTTTTTTTGAGATGATACACAATACAAATAGATCTATTACATATATAATATAAACATATGCTATACAAGTATATTATCATTATGCAGCAATTAATCAAAAAACATAAAATTTAGTTGGTACACCTGGACCCAGACTGGTTTCTTATATTATCTCACGTAACGTTTGAATGTGTCCAGCATCTTGGTTAGTGCTTGGTTTTAATTTTCTCATTCTGGCATGGTTTTACCATGTTGTTTCGGAGCTGAAAGCCAGAAACAGCTGTGGAGAAACTTAGCCCAGGTTTGCGTAACACCTTGCTAGGATCTGAGCCATGCCCTGCATGGTAGACCCGACTCCCTTTCTTACAGAAATACCTCATGCTCTCATTTCTACCTCAGTCATTCTACTTCAGCCACATTGGTGTACTAGGGTATTCTAAAACATGCCAAGCACCTGACCTCAGAGCCTTTGTGCTATTTCTGCCTGTAATATTTTTTCTCTTTGTATTGGGCATTGGAAAAAGTCATGATGCATTTTTGCATAGAAAAAAAATACTTTATGACTTTTCTGACAACCCAGTATAAATAGATTTCAAAACCCAGTGACAAGGAAATTCCCATATATGATTATAGATAGTATATTAAGTATATAAATACCTATGATTTGTTAAAAGAAAAAAATGTAAAGAAAACAAAATGCCAATATGTTAACACTGGTGGTTTCTAGACACACATTTTATTTATATTTCTCAGTATTTTCTGTATTTTTTGCCATTATCAAAAATTATTTCTGCAACTAGGAAACATGTATTTATTTTTTATGGAAATACTAAAACAGCTTTCTTCCTTGGCTTCTTTCTCTTTCTTCCTAGACTATATATTCTGTTTCTTAATCTGAGTGCTGGTGTCCACTTTGGAAATTTATTACAATACACTGATGATTTAGTTCATTTTTCCGCTTTTCATGTTTTACTTTAATTTAAAAAGTACAAAAAATACAGCCTGCCAGAATAGAGTGTTTTGATAATATATTTATTTTATGTATATAATGTACATATTCTAGGTAATTTAAGTTTTAAGATAAACTATAAAGTTTACTACTGGTTTAATGTCCTAATCAAAATCTCATTGATTAAAAGAGTATTACAGAACACTAGCTGCTAAATGGAGCTTAAACAGTATATTATTGAACCAAATACAATTACATAGGATATTTCTTCAGAGAATATAGATTAGTAAATTTAGTATCCTATAGATGCTTTTTCTAAGGGTAATTGCAACTCTCCTGAAATTTTTTTTTAATTTATATTTCTTATTCATAGAATGTTTTAAGTATAGTTTTCTTGAGTCTGTTAGGGAAGTTATTAAATAGAACTAGATAGATATAGTGTTATCTAATAATTCTAATAATTTTAAATTTTAAATATTTATTTAAGTACAAGTACCAAAACGCCTTTATATCTGTTTTTTTCAAATATTTAGGTAATCCTGTGTCTTCTTTTATATAGGTTAAACTGCTGATCTTAAAAACAAACAAAAAACCCAACTTCTTCCCCTCAGTAAAATATTTGATTTAGAAATAAAGAAAATATTTGGCTTTATCTCAAAAATAAAATTTTGACCATACAGGAAACCTTCAAACAAGGCACTTTCTTTTTCATTCTATTCATATTTTGTAGTTAGCTATTTAAATTGTATATTAAATTATATTAGTATAGGGGGTCTTCTAAAGGGTCAAGAAAATGCATATTATTGTAAGATTATGTATGGATTTCAATTTTTTACATCAAAATTAAGTTGTACTTAAATTTCATTTCTATAAACTTTGAAGTTCCCTCATATACATTATTCTTAAGTTCATTATGTTGTAATGAAAAATATTTAACATCTGTAGCATCTCTTTAAAAAATTATTCTTTGGGGCCAACAGGTGGCATGGTGGTTAAGGTGCTGAACACTCCCATAGGGCCGACCATGGTTTGAGTCCCAGTCCTGGTGGCTTGCTTTCTTACTTTCTCTCTCTCTCTCTGTGTGTCTTTCTCTGGTCAAATTAAAAGAAATTAATGAATAAATAAAATTGAATACATAATTTTTTTAAATTATTCTTTAATTTAATTTATTTTTGTTATAGGCTACATGCACTCACCAGAGAGAGAGACCAAGAGAGAAAGAGAGGGAAAGTGAGAAAGCAAGCTGCCAAATCCAGGACTTGAACCAAAGTTGGCCATGTGGGAGTCCAGAACTTCACCACACTACCTGCAGACCCCCATCTATAGCATCTCTTAATCATACTTTAATCTCTACCTCCTACATATCTTTTTAGAAAATATATTGAGTTTTGTAGTGTGTCAAAAGTTAAAACTTCATCCTTTATGGCATAAATTATTTTAGTGTTACAGGATTGATTTTTTTTAACCTTTTATGATTTAAAAGTCCCTAAGTAATCATTTCTTTGATACCTCATTGTGATTTTATTAACTTTCCCTTTTAGCATTTTTGTATGCTTTTTAGCTGTTTGCATCTCTTCCTTTGACAATTGACTTTTGTCAAAAATCAGTTGAATGTGTACTCTTGGATTTATTTCTTGATTCTCTATTACCTTTCATTAGTATATATGTCTCTTTGTGTCAGTACCATGCAGTTTTGTTTATTATGTCTTTGTAGTATATTTTGAGATTAGGTAGTATGATGCTTCTAACACTTGTTTTGTTATTGCTTTAGCAGTTTAGAGTCTTTCATGATTCTAAACAAATTTTATGATGTTTTTTTTTTTTCCCTATTTCTGCAAATAGTCACTGGTATTTTTGATAGAGATTGCATTTAATTTGTAGATCACTTTGGGTAGTGTTAGGTCATTGGGAAAGTCATGATGTATTGTTCTATGCTTTTCTATGCAAAAATGCATCATAAATTACCAATGGCCCAATATTTATTTCTTACATATTTGTTCATCTATTCTTTTCTAAATTTAGAATTTTTATGCTGGTAAGTGTTTAGCTGTATCTGATATATTTTAAAATATTAAATTTACATCTTTGCTCCTTAAATCTAGATACAATTGAGAAAGAAATAAGAAAAATCTTCAGTATTCCAGATGAAAAGGAGACCAGATTGTGGAACAAATACATGAGTAATACATTTGAACCACTGAATAAGCCAGACAGCACTATTCAGGATGCTGGTTTATACCAAGGACAGGTATTGTTTGGGGATACCTTTTCTTAAAACATACTGTATATAAAGCTTTTTGATTCACAACTGTAATTAATATCTGAGAACATATGACAGTTTCTACTATCTCTGGCTTTCTTTTTCTAACTAGCTTTTGTCTATCCCTGCTGATATACTAACTATAACTTCTGATTCTCTTTTTGAGTTTGGAAAGAATCTACTTCTTAAAAAGAAATACTTTTTGATTAAAAAAAAAGAAATATAGTATTATTACTTTATGGGACAGCAAACTTTCTGTATAGGAAAGCTATGAAATTTCTGTTACAGATATATAATTCTGCCATTGTAAGTAGCACAAAAGCAATCCTATGTTGTGATGATACCTAAACAAATGAGTGTAGCTATGTTTCCATAAAACTGTTTACAAAAGAAGGCAACAACTAAGTGGACTGTAGTTTGCAAACTTCTCTTTGAAGGTATCACCACCCAACTTGAACCTCATTGTGTTCTTCTTTGTAATACAATTCAAAGAAGTAAATATAATGAGAAATGAAGATGTTTAGTCACTATCAGCAATCTCTGCTGATTCTGCCTCCTAAATATCTGTTGAATTACTCTTTCTGTTCCATTCCTGTCTCTTACCTTTCGTAGACTCTTAACAGATCCTTCTCCCTCCAGGCTTGTGTGTTCACTCAGTTTTAGCTGTGGCAGAATACTCATTCTAAAATGATAATCTTACAATTTCCCCTTTCATAAGCCCTTCCAGTTTCTTTAGATTATAAAGTCCAGGCACTTTAACCCTATACATACAAATCATGACTTAACCTCTTGCTTAGTTTCTAGCATTTTTTCATTTGCTGTTATACACATCGTCCCTGAATTTGTCCAGCAAACAGTCCTTTTAACCAATCAGATAGTTAATGTAACTATCTGATCCCATCATGAAGGCGGACCAGGTTAGATTATTTATCCTTCAAATTCCAACTGGAATGTCACACCATCTCTTTAGTCTTCCCTGTTTTTCTCAATATCCATTCAGGTATAGGATGCTTCTATTTTAGAAAAGTAAGTGCTCCCTTAACTTTCATAATGATTTATGTACATGTTTTAAGAAAAAATAAAAACTTGGGGCCAGCAGGTGGTTTGATAATTAAGGATGCTAGGCTCCCACATGGCTAACTGAGGTTCAAGTCCCAGACCTGTTGACTTGCTTTCTCACTTTCTCTCTCTCTCTCTCTTTCTCTCTCACTCTGTTTCTCTCTGGTCAAATTAAAAATAAATAAATATATAAATTAAATTAAATAAAAAATAATTCATAAAAAAATAAAAACAGGGGGAACCAGCAGTTAGCGTAATGGCTATGTCGCTGGACTCCCATGTAGTTGACCGCGGTTCGTGTCCCGGACCCGGTGGCTTAAAACTCACGCCGGGCGCGTGTGCATGCGTGCCCAAGATCCCAAGAGGAGAATGGAGGGGAAGGGATTGCGGTGTGACCATCCCCCCTGGGGGGTGATTTCTTGCTTTCTGTCTCTAAGTCTCTCTCTGTCTATCTGGCGAGCGCACGCGCCCTACAGTGAAAATCTCTCAAAAAAAAAAAGTAAGTAAATAAATAAATAAAATAAATAAAAACAGTAGGGTCTTGCTAAATTGCAGCCTTCTATCTCAGCTTTCTGGTTGGCTGGGACTAGAGAGTGTGTACCAGCACCCTAACTCCTTCAGATGGAGTCTCACTGTGTTGCCCACACATAGTATAAAATCACAATCCTTCTTTCTCAGCTTCTCAAATTGCTGGGGCTACAGGTGGGTGCCATTGCACCCATTTTTTTAGCATGGACTAGGAGTGGAACTGGGGCTTCCCTGACAGCCTCAGTCTGCTAAGTAGCAGCATCTACCAACACATGCTACACATGCTACTGTGGCTGGGCCTATTTATGTCTTTTTTTTTAATCATTCATTGTATACTTTATTTTGTTAAGCTCTCTAAATCACCTATGAGATCCTCGTTTTGGTTAAAAAAATTATTTAATTTTATTTATTTATTTTTTAATTTGCTACAGGGCACATGTGCTCACCAGAGAGAGAGAAGGACAAAGTGTGAAAATATGCCATTCGGTCCAGGACTTGAGCCATGGTCAGCCATGTGGAAATCCAGCACCTTAACCACCATGCCACCTACTGGCCCCAGTTAGACTTGCTTTTAAATAGCCAGAAGGTGTGCGCATTTTCTAGAGACAGAGGAAAGTGTCCCCCAGTGGAGTTTGCTCATGTCATAATCAATTTCTCTGTTCCCTCAGGATTTGAGGCATGTATGTAACACGCCTAGCATGTTTGTCAAGCTGCCAGACTGGGATTCAAACCAGTCAGCTACATGGGGTGTGGCTCCCTATGCATAGGTCTTAACCTCTGTGCTACAGGGCCAGTCCTTGATTTTAAACTGTTTGTCCTATTTATTTTCAGTACCTAACAGAGTCCCAGTGTGCCAATATGTAAAAGTGGTCATTTTGTGTGTTAAAATGTATTACCGGAATCAATAATATGGTACTGAGTTATGACAAAAAAATCAAGGGAAATTAATTTTTAGCAAATGCCTATTATATCTCAGTATTGCACTAGACTGCGAAAAAGTGATTTGCAAGCTTATTTTAGCCATTCTTAAATGAACTTAGTAACTCCAGTAGATACTGTAATAAGAAGGAAAGTCACATGATTGAAGCTGAAGTGAGGACCCTGGAACTTTCCTGATTAGCTTTCACTCCCCTCCCTTGCTAGCCACCTTTTTTTTTTTTTTTTCTTCAGTAGCTATACATCTTTCTTCTTGGTTACCATCTGTTAGGCCTTGAGGTAGTTTCATCAGTATAATTTGAAATATATTTTTAAAAAATTTTTAATCTTTTCAGGGAATTTGTGAAATAGAAGTTATTCTCCCCTTCATGTATAAACTGAAACAGAGAAATTCAATAATTTGATGTTGTTGTTCTTACCCTCTTTCCTCCCCACTTTCTCTTTTTTCTTCCAAATAGCTTTATTCATTTATTTTTTTCCATTTTTGACAGAGTACATGCGTGTATATTGGGGAGAGAAACACATTCTATAGGGCGTGGTCATGCAGCAATCCTCTTTCTCTAGTCCTCCAGCCCACCAGAATCTTAGGTGCATGTGAACGTGCCTGGTCTGTTTTCAGGCCAGGGAGTTGAACTACTTGGCATATGGCTTCCACTTTGGTAGTCTAGTACACTACTAACTGTGCCAAAGAGACTGAGTCTCTTGATAGGTGTGTATTTATCAGTTTGCAGATAAAAGTATAAAATTAGTTTAGTAAGATGAAATGTCCTTAAGGACTTCTGATCTTTCAGGACAGTAATGTTTCAAGGGATACGCATTAAAATTTCCAGATTTTATAGCTCCTCTTTTCTGATTGATGATAAATAAACACTATCCAAACTTTTTTTTTTAACTAAAATTGGTGGTATCCTCATTAGAAAATGAAGCAAAGAAATATTCTTGAAGATGTTGTATTCCGAAATAAAGTCTTTCCCTCTGCTCTTTGTGTGCGTGTGTATAATTAAATTTTTAAATCTTTCTAAAACTATTTTTATCCTGAACTAAAGTTCTAATTCTAAACAGTTTCATTCAGAAAATGATACATTCAAATGAAGGAGTGAATTTGAACATCTCTGATGGCCTTCGACACTAATGACCTGTTTGTAAAAACATGAATTTCAATGATGATTATTATTAGAAATTAGATGTTATGGTTAAACAGCAATATTAAATATATCACTTTGAAAATTTTGGTAACAAAATCTCTTGTTTTATAACTGACCATATAACCATAAAGATTATGTATATGTACTTCTATATACAGTTTATGTGTAGATCTTGCTATAGTTTTAAGTTACAGTAAAGGAAAACTTTCTTCAGAAGTTAAAAATCATTAATTCTATTTTATAAATCTTTAACAGTATATAAAACTATACCAAAATGATAAATAGAAGATTAAGACAATGGTTTATTGTCTGAGTAGTAGGAAGAAGAATGTGATCAAGAAAAGGATCAATATGGTAGACACATAGTGAATTTTTTTCTTTGTATGTGTTTTTCAAATGAATAAAATGCTAGGTTTTTTTAAGATAATATTTTAATTAGCATGCTCTTTCAACAAGTTCCATGAATTTATTTATTTATTTTTAGATTTTGCCACAAAGCATGTGCATTCGCCAGAGAGAGAGAGACAGACAGACAGACAGACAGAGGGGGCACAGTGAAAATTCAACAAGGGGATGGCCATGCCTCAGTCTCTTCTCTCCCATTCTCTTCTTGGGATTTTGGGCATGCAAACACACATGCCAAGTGTGATTTTCAAGCGGCCAGATCCAGGACTAGAATCATGGTCAGCTATTTGGGTGCCCCAACCACCACATCACCTGCTGGCTCCCAGTTCCATTAATTTAATTCACTATTTTATTATTTGTCCCATACATTTTGAAGCATAATAACAGTTTACCTGGTTATAATACAGATGTCAACATATATTAATAAACTGTCTGGAAATATATAGTACCCCCCACAATGTATTCCTGAGAGTATGTAGAGTAGGTTACAAAATGCAACTTTAAAAAGAGTTAATGAAACTGAATGTGTATTAGTAGAATGTATTCAAATTTGTAATTCCTTGAATTTATTTCAAGTCCTTTTGTCTATACCAGGAGGTCTTTAAAAAGCTTATAGAAAAGTGAAATTAAAATACGGATTTATTTTGGTCCCCAAACTGAAATCCTTGTAGAATTTTTTTATAATATGTATTTTACATGAAGTTTTTGAAGACTGCACATATTATAATTTTCCTGTGGAAATTCAAATATTAACTTATTAATAGTATCACATATTTCATTTGTTGATTAAATTATTTTTGCTATGTTTTTATTTGCACAGACTCATCCATAGCAAAAACTAGAAGAAAGCCTTTTTTAGACTGGAAGATGCGAGGAAGGATATTGGGATGTTTTAGAATAAAGTGTAATTCTGCCTCAGCCTATACTTTTCATTTAATAGAGGTGATTTTTGTCTACCTCGATTATACTGTAACATGGCACTTCATTATGATTCTCATAAATCTGACTCTGTCATTTATATATTAAAAGATTCTATTATTTGCATAGTAATAATATAAATACACACTAATTTCAAAGCATCAAATAAATTATATGTAATTGAGGGTTATCTATGTTACTGTTTCTCAATATTTACATAATAATAGCGAAAATCATTTATCAGTATGTTTAACATCAGTATGTTCAACAACTGCACACATTAATTAAACTTTTGTTAGTTGCACAGTCAGTTCTATGTTAGAAGCTACAAATACAAATAGAAAAGATATTCCCCAAACTCAGGAAATTTATAATCTGTTTATTTAATGTGAACTTTGTAATACTTAAAGTCAGAAAACCAGTAATTCTCTCCATAGTTTGCCTCTTTCCTTCTCACTGTCAGGATGGTTTTTTGGTTTTTTTTGGTTTTGTTTTTGTTTTTTTGTCTCCCTTGCCCAGCTTTGGAATCAAAGTATGGAAAGCTCTTCACCTTGTCTACTGTGTCCTTTGAATAATCAGAGTTACTTTAATTTGTTAGTGTATTTAGATAATCTTTTAAAGCTATTATAACTTCAGAGTTATGGAAAAATATCCTTTTATTGTATCATATTTGCAGGTGTTAGTGATAGAACAGAAAAATGAAGATGGAACGTGGCCAAGGGGTCCTTCTGCTCCAAAGTAAGTGCCCCCACCTGTTGTGGTTTATTGTATTATTTCGAAGTCTTTGATTTCAGGTAAAGAAATCCAGAACAATAAAAAAGAACTTAGTTATATGTTGCAAAAATACATACCTTCTTTGTTTTTTAATGTTTTATTATTAGTATACAAGTTATCTATATTTATACTTAATGTTACAATTTTCAAAGTTCCCAGTTCAAATCTCTTTTAGAATAAGGTACAGTACAAATATATTTTATAGTATGAGAAATTTGTGTTGTCTAGTAAAGTCAAATCACTAAACAATGTTTCCCTTTTTTTTAATTTTTGTGATTTTTAGAAAATTATTAAGAAAATACTTCTTCATCAAAATGAATCTGATGTGAAAATAATATTTTACTTATTTAAATGTTTAGAATATAAAAGCACAAGTACAGATTGAGAAATATGAGTTGCTTCTAACAGTAAATGAGGGAAGAATTAGGATTCTTTTTAACTATTTTAGAATGATCACATCACATTCCATTATCAAAAATACTTAAGGCAAGCTGTTTTAATATTCAGATTGGAAATTTTTGAGAAGTGTGTCACCTATTAATGTAGTGTTTCTATAGAGTTGCATTAATATTCCTTCAGCCAAGTGAAGAAAATAAGAACTACAAGTAGCCTGATACCAGTTTAGGTTCCCACCTAATGACTTGTGAAAAAAATTTTTAAGTTTTCAGAGCTTTGGAATTTCAGATTTTCTGGTAATGGATTTTGAATCTGTATTTTGAAGTCCTTAAAACAATGATTCTAAATAAATCAGTAATAATTCTGTAAATGCTAACCTAGCAAATTAAAAAAAAACCTTCTGTGTAGTTTTTCTCAAAATTGAAATATACCTTTAATTTGAGATTTTCTATCTTTTTTTTAGTGTGTGAAGATTTTTTTGTTTAAATTTGTCATGAGAAGGTGCCTAAGTATGTTAATTACTGGAGGTGATTTCTTAGTTCTATGTAATTCAAGAGTAGAACTTACTATAAGAGTAGAATTTTCCAACTTATGTTAAAGCTTTAGGTTTTGTAATTTTAAAATTGCTTGAGAAGTCATATAAAAATACCATAGTCGTAAAGGTTGAGGAATCTTTTCTTAAAATTACTGAATGATAAGACTAATTATATATAGTTTAATATTAATCTTGTTCTCTGCTCGTACAATGTCATTTTTATTTATTCAAATAACTGCAATAATTGCATTGTATAAAAGATAACGCAGTTTGTTATATAGTACCTAACACACTACACACATAAATATTAGAGAATGAAGGTATATACTAGAGATGTACAGTAGTATCATTAAGAGTCCTTGTCATGGTACCAGCATATGGCATAATGGTTACATCGCTGGATTCCCATGTAGTCAGTCTTGGTTCAAGTTCCAGACCTGGCAGCTTAAAACTTAGCTGGGTGTTCATGCGTATCCAAAATCCCAAGAGGAGATAGAGGAAAAGGGATTACGGTATGACCGTTCCCCCAGTGGGTGACTTCTCGCATTCTGTCTCTCTGTCTCTCCAGTGAGTGCACACATCCTATAGTAAAAATCTCTCTTTTAAAAAAAAAAAAAAGAGTCCTTGTCTTTACTGAATTTACCGGTGTAATAGGGATCCCAAATGTTAAAACATGAACAGTATCTGTTCACTATAATTGTGAAAGAACTGTATAGAGGTGTGTCATAGGTGGCCAAGTGATAATTTACCAGGATACAAAAAAAAGTGTTTTTGATGATGTTTATACTTGTATGTGAAAAGACTCAGAAAAGTAAGTATGAAGAGATTTATCTTACTTGATAAAGCATATATATCCAAAAAAGTTATAATTTATTGTGAAATTGAATACAAACCAGATAAGACTAGAAGAAAAAAGATGAAATTCACTATCTGTGTATGATGCAGTCATCTACATGAAATCCAAAGTAGTCAGCAGACTACTAAACTTGGGAAAATGTAGGAAGAGTATATATCTAAAATGAATTTGTAAAAGTGAATAGGTTTTCTCTATACCCAGAAGTCAACGGTGTTTTATAGAAAGGATGAGAGGGGCCAGCAGGTAGCTTGGTATTTAATTAAGGTACTTAGACTCCCACATGGCCGCCCACATTTCAAGCCCTGGATCCAGTGGCTTGAAAATCATGCTGGATGTGTGTGTGTGCATGTCCAGAATCCCAAGAGGAGAGTGGAGGAGAAGGGATTGGGACATCTCATCCCCCTGGGGGGCAAATTCTCACTTTCCCTCTCTTTGGTGAGCTCACCCTCTCTATGGCAAAAATCTAAATAAATAAATAAATAAATAAATAAATAAAGTATAAATATTTTCAGCTTGCCCGCCATATTCTGTCACAACGTAACTTGACTTAGCATGAATGGAACCTTAGACAAAATTTCAACACAAGTACATGGCTTTGTGCCAATAAAACTTCATAAACAAATGACAAACTTGGATTTGACCTGTCAGCCATAGATTTCTGGCCCCTTTTGTGTACCATTATTAACCCACTTGGACAGTAGTGTAATAACCTAATTAAGAACCTTTGTAACCTGTGTAAAACCTTTATGGAAAAAACTTCTAACTAATTAGAAGGCAGAAGATTGTCATATACTAAATAATTTAACTCACTAATACTGTTTTTCTTTTTTTTCCCCTTAAATGTATCATTTCTGTGCCTCTTATTCAAAATTCTATTCTGACTTTTTTTGAGGAGGTGAGGGGTAGAGAGAGACTTTAATGAACTTATTCTGAAATTATCATAGACCAGAATAGCTTCAGGATTAGCAAGTCAAATATGGCAAAGAAGGATAAAGGAATACTAGACCTACCACATACTAAAAATTACTATTGGTTTTTCTGAAAGTCATGATACATTTTTGCACAGAAAAACAGAAAAATATGTCTTGACTTTCCTGACAACCTAATAAATGCCATGGTAATAAAAAATAGTACTAGAATAAACTAGGGAGCTCAAAAAGACTCTGGTGTATTTGAGAACTTAATATGTAATAATGTGTCACTACAAGTCAATGAGGTTACTTAAACCAGATGAATACTTAGATTTTACCAGGAGAATTAGCTGTTTAGAGGAAGAAAAAGCTAGATCCCTAATGTACACATCATATGTAAAGGCAAACTCTGGAAGTATTAAAGACCTAAATAAGAAATGTAAGGCTTTAAAAGCTAGTAGAAAAAATTTTGGAGACTAATAATGTTATCATTAGGAATAATAGAACAGAATGTGAAAATGTTTTTGGTTACATCAAAATTAAAAACTTCTGTTAAAGGACCCACATACTAAGTCAGATGTGAGTTTTCGAGTATCTGAAACCTGTAAGTGTCGCAGTTGCAGTGGTGCAGGCATGAGAGCAGCATACCTGGTGACTGAGGCCACATGAGAAGCTTAGTTTTGGTTTCTGGCCCAGCCTAAACAGGCACCATGGTACAAGCTTGTCATCTGATAACTGGGAGACTGGGGATGAGAATTACAATATACTGAGACCATGTGAAAATTACTTGTCTCCTCCTCTCCCTTTCACTCTCTTTCTCTCTTATTAAATAAATAGGTAGGTGGGCCAGGAGGTGGCAAGGGGGTTAAGGCAGCTGGATCCCATGTGACCCACTTTTTGGTTCAGTCTTGGACCCGGTGTCTTGAAAGTTAGACCAGGCACATAGGCATGCATGTCTAAAATCTCAAGAGAAGAATGGAGAAGGGATTGTGGCATGACCATCCTCCCGCCTAGGGGTGTTATTTCTCTCTGTTTCTGTCTCTCTCCTCCTCTCTCAGGCAAGCACACACATCCTATAGAAACTAAAAATAAGTAGATAACTAGGTAAATCAATCAATCCATCCATCCATCCTACATGAGAATAATACCTATAATATATCATAAATTACTATGAGTTTATAGAAACAAAGACTTTTAAAAATAGATAAAAGCAGGACCAACATATGGCGTAATGGTTACATTGCTGGGCTCCCACATAGTCTACCATGGTTTCGTCCCAGACCCAGCAACTTAAAACTCATGCTGGGCTCATGGCATGCATGCTCAAGATCCTGAAAGGAAAATGGGGAGAAGGGGTTGCAGCGTGGCATACCCCTGGGTGGTGATTTCTTGCTTTCTGTCTCTCCAGTAAGCACATAGCAAAAATCTCTTTCTTTAGAAAAAAAAAAAAAAAAGATAAAAAAGATGATAGACAGTTTAAGAAGTCCACATGCCCTCAGGTAAATGCAGAGATAGATAAACTCACTAATAAACAGGGAAAAAATGAAAATAAAGCACAGGATACAAACTTCTACCCATTAGAATGACAAAAATGTAAAAGGTGCTGATGCAGTCTTCGCTAGGGTGTGGGAGTCTTAGGTAGTGATTATAGAAGTGTAAACTAATATTGCCATCCTATAAATTATTCAGCATTTAATTAAATTGGGAATGTTTAATCTGTCTGCACTCAGAGGAATTTTTATGCAGATCCCTAAGGATATAACTTCTTGGCAGTGTTGTAGTAGTTGAGTTGGAAGCAGCCTAACTTTAAATAAGTGTAATCATTGATAGTGTGAATATAAAAATAAGGGTGGCATAATGTTGGTGAGGTCTTTAAGAACTGTAAGCTTTAATTCATACAGTTGAGAGAATAAAACAGAATGAGGTATATAATTCAGTCCCATTCATGTACATTTTAAGTAGAATATATTTCATTAAAATAAGATAATATTTAAAAACAAAAAAATGCAATTAGTAGTAGAAACTAGAGGAAAAAAGTTTTGGCTATTATTTATATTTGTGTCATGGAAACAAGGATATAGATTTGTTTCCTGGATCAATGACAGCTTAAAACACTGGAATTTCTGTATGTTTATTGAAATTATAAGCACATCTAAATTGGGTAAATTCAATTCCAGCAGAGATCATGTAATTTTAGGTTCTCAAGAAGAAACTTCAAGATAGTAAGATACAGGACAACTTGTTTTACCCTCCTCGAGATTGTCAT